GTCAGAATCATCATCATCATCATCATCATCATCATCATCATCATCATCATCATCATCATCATCATCATCATCATCATCAGCATCGTCATCATCATCATCATCATCATCATCATCATAATCAGCAGCATCATCATCCCCAGACCCCTCGAGCCATGAACCAATCACGACGGGAGGTTTCTCTCCATTTTCGACCTCTGGGGGCCCCTATAGCGGGCCCCGGGAGCCTCAACAAAACGACTCGGGATGAAGAACCGGTCTGGGGCTCGACGTGGTGAAAAATCACGACGTCGGGGGTCTGGAAACGGACCAACGACGACGACATGCACCGACCGACGACGACGACGACGACAACGACCACGACGCCCACGACGTTGACGACCACGACGACCACGACGACCACGACGACCACGACGACCACGACCACGACCACGACCACGACCACGACCACGACCACGACCACGACCACGACCACGACCACGACCACGACCACGACCACGACCACGACCACGACCACGCCGCAACCACAACCGACCACGACCACGACCACGACCACGACCACGACAAGCGTCGTGGCATCGTAGTCGTCAATGGCGCCGCAAGTCGTCGTCACAGTCGTCGCCGTTGTCGTTGTCTCCGCCATCGTGGCCGTTAGCGTCGTAGCCGTCGTCGTCGTGGCCGTCGGCGTCGCCGCCCCCGCCCGTCCTGACGGTCGTCGCCGTCGCCCCAAGCGTCCCCGTGGCCGCCGCAACCGGCGTCGTCGTAGCCGTCATCGCAGTATCCTCGTAGTCGTCGCGGCCGCCAACGTCGTCGTCGTCGTCGTCGTCGTCGTCGTCGTCGCCGTCGTCGTCGTCTTCGCCGTCGTCGTCGTCGTCGCAACGGGCGTCGTCGTCGTCGCCGTCGTCGCAACCGTCGTCGTCGTCGTCATCGTCGTCGTCGTCGCAACCGGCGTCGTCGTCGTCGTCGAGGGCATCCGCACGGCGAACACCTCTTCACAGCTCACTGCTCGAGGGGGGCACGCTTTCGGGCCCTGTAGGCTCGTCAGGAACCGACCGGCGGCAGAGGACGTGCCGCAGGGATGTGGTCGAGCTCTCGGGGTGCTTGCGGCCCCGCGTCGCGAAAAGGTCACTAAGTGGAGGCCTCCTGGATGGGGTCCGAGTAGATGGTGTCGAAGGATCGCGCCGAACCTCGGATGCATCGCCGATACATCGGCGATGCATCGGCGGTGCATCGGCGACATCGGTGATGCATCGGCAACGTCGGCGTGGCGAGAGTCGGGCTCCACATCGAGCCGCATCGGCGATGCGTCGCCGATGCATCGGCGATGCGGCGCGATCCGCCAACGCCATCTACTCCGACCCCATCTGGGAGGCCTAGACACGGAAGATACGTCGACCCATATCCCAAGCTTAGTGGGGTTTTCGAACATGGACCAAACACTTTGGAACCAACCCTTGGGTATACGATAGGGGGAGCGTCCCTCCTCGATGGGGGTGCGTCCGAACAAGCCCCCCCGGGGTGTGCCAGGGCTTCCCTGACTTTTTTCCTGAGCAGCCACACTTTTCGGGTGGAACTCTGGGATTGAGGGAGAAAAATCGCCTGCGAAACACCCAGACCCCCGACGTCATGATTTTCTCATTGCGTCGACCCCCAGAGGTCTGGACTCCTTCCGCGGGACCACTGGTCTTTCGTCCCGAGTCGTTTCTTGACGGTCCCGAGGCCCGGCAGGGACCCCCAGAGGCCGAAAATCACGAAAACCCTCCCGTCGCGATTTCTTCATGACTCGAAGGGGTCTGGGACGAGGGAGGTCTGGGCGCACGCGCGAGCGCGCTGCACGCCTGCGGGGAGCTGCCAGACCGCGCTCCAGGGAGGCCGTCGGAGGCTCCGGGAGGCCTTCGCTCCCCCGGTAGGGGGTGGTGCTGCCACGCACCTGCGCCCCCGCCGAGAGCCTCCCCAGGACCCTGCATGCCGGCCCGAGCGCCTGTCCCTGCGAGGCGGGAGCTCTTGCCTTATGTTGGGCCTGTCCCCCTACAGGGGGATTTTCGACGAAAAATTAAAAATACCCCAAAAATACCCCAAAAAGGTCAAAAAGTACTCAAAAAAATACCCCGACTATTTTGGAGGCATTTTATATTTTTCGTCGAAAATCCCCCTGTAGGAGGACAGGCCCGACTTAACTCTTGCCCGCAACCCACGGCCTGGGGAACCGGCGTCCTGGGATCCTGGCGGGCGGCGGGTCTGGACGCAGCTGGGCCCACCAGGGGCCCTGGCACATCCACGTCCACCTGCGGCATGCCGAGGTCCGGCCCACGGGGGCCCCGGCACATCCACGTCCACCCGCTGCCGAGAGGTCCCCGAGGAAGTCTCCGTATCCCCCGGGCGGTGGTCGTGGAGGAGCCGCCTCGGGGAGGTGCCCGGCCCGGCCTGCGGCCAAGGGGCCCATGGCCTCCCGAGGCCCCGAGAGGAGCGGGCGGTCAAGCGCTCCGAGCTCGGGGGCCCTCAGAGAGCGCGGCCCGTGGCGCGAGCACACTTTTTTTTTGATCCGCGGGTCGAGAGCGAGCCTCTTCCGGTCGAAGCTAAGCGGGCCGCGCACAGCTTTAATTGACAGAGGGGGGAAAACAGAAGGAGGGGCCTCACGTCAAGGCAAAGAGAGGGCAAAGCCCTGGGATCAGGCGGTGCCGAAGGCGGAGGGCATGCAAAGGTACGCCTTGAACAGGAACCCGGAGGCGAAGTACCCGGAGGTAAAAGCGAGCACACACACACATACACACACGAGGGACGAGGTCGAGGGCTCCAGGAGCGCCGCTTGATTATGCACAGTCACTGCGCCGAAACAAGAACCGCTCTGGACTCACGAGGGGCACTAGTGTCAGGGACGTTTCTTCGATCTACAGGGCAGGTTTTAATACATAGGATTTGAAACATATTTGATTTGTTACTACACGATTAATTTATGAATAAATATATGCATGAACTCATCGTTGTTGTCAGTACTAAATCCCTGCATTTGTAATACATGATCCGCACGCGGAGCATGTATTAAAAACGGCACTGTAGGTCGGAGAACCTGCTTGGGGCCGAAGCTCGCCGTGGCTAGAAAAGCCTCTTCGTTCCTCATTAGACGTTCCGAATGGTAGCACGATGGCTGTGCTCCAGGCTGCTAGAGAAGCACCCCCCCCACAAGCCACCCCCCCCCCGGACGGGCTGGTGTTGGCCCCCCACGCGCGCCGAACCCAACCTCTAACGCGATCAACCTCTCTACCCCTCACGGCCCGCGAATGCCAACCCGCGCCCAACCCTCCAACCGACGCGCAGCCCAAATCTTTTGCGCATGCCGAGCAGCGCGGGGCCTCGAGAGAACCAGGCCGTCGGAAGGCTGGGACGTCGACCACTCGCGGGCAGACGAAACGCGCGGATGGGGTTAGGTCGGGCATGTTCGAAAACAGCCAAAAATAGTTTGGAAATCGTCCCGACACTAATTTTTACTATTTCTGAGCATTCCTCTTGCAGAGGGACGCGCCCGACGCAAGGGTGGGGTGGCGGCGCAGTCCGCCCCCCTGCCAGCAGGCAGGCGCGCGCGCGAGAGCGCGAAGGCCGCCGTGCGTGCGTTTTTACCTAACAGCTCTTGCTGATAGGTTTCTAGTGATCTCAAAAGAGAACATCATGACTCCTCAGGGGGGTCTGGGCGGGACCCGGGGAGGCTGCCGTCGAAGCCGAAATCGCTTGGGACATCCTCGCCAAATCGCTCTTGGTGCTCCCAGAACTCCACTCCCGGGCCACATTTTGGATGCCCGGAGCCAACTGTAGGCCACTTCGTGCTCTTCGACTTCCCAGAACTCCACTCCCGGGCCACATTTTGGATGCCCGGAGCCAACTGTAGGCCACTTCGTGCTCTTCGATTTCCCAGAACTCCATTCCCGGGCCACATTTTGGATGCCCGGAGCCAACTGTGGGCCACTTCGTGCTCTTCAAGTTCCCAGAACTCCATTCCTGGGCATGATTTTGAATGCCCGGAGCCAACTGTAGGCCACTTCGTGTTCTTCTAGTTCCCAGAACTCCATTCCTGGGCCACATTTTGAATGCTGAGGCAGGCTGATGCTGCGGCCGAGGCAGGCTGAGGCTGAGGCAGGCTGAGGCTGAGGCCGAGGCTGAAGGCAGACTGAGGCTGAGGCTGAAGCAGACTGAGGCTGAGGCTGAGGTAGGCTGAGGCTGAGGCTGAAGCAGGCTGATGCTGAGGCAGGCTGAGGCTGAGGCTGAGGCTGATGCAGGCTGAGGCTGAGGCAGGCTGAGGCTGAGGCCGAGGCTGAAGGCAGACTGAGGCTGAGGCTGAAGCAGGCTGAGGCTGAGGCTGAGGCAGGCTGAGGCTGAGGCAGGCTGAGGCTGAGGCTGAGGCAGGCTGAGGCTGAGGCTGTGACTGCGACTGCCGTTGCCGCTGCGACTGTCATCGCGAATGCGACTACGACTGCGAGAACAGCAGAATTCTACAACTGGATTTTCATCTGAATCTTAAGGGGAATGCTTTCAGATATGCTTCTACACATCGCTGTCAGGTTGCTTTGCCGGGATAATTTTGCTCCTCGCCTCGTCTCGTCGCCGCCCCGGCGCAGCCTGCAGTGGGCGGCGGCGAAGCGGCGGCCGCAACCCCGCGGGGATGGCGGGCGAGAGCGGAACCCAGACCCCCTCGCGCTGTGACCAAAATCACGACGGGAGGCTTCTGGCTATAGTTTCGGCCTCCGGGGGCCCCTGCCGGGCCTCGGGACCGTCGAGAAGCGACTCTTGGACGAGAGGCCAGTCCTGCGGAGGGAGTCCAGACCTCTGGGGGCGTATACGCTGCGAAGCAATCACGACTCGAGGGGCCCTGGGACACACAAAGGAATACACACAAATAAAAGGATTCCCCATTCTTTCCCATATTTTCTGGGTTTCTGTCTTCCCCCCCATTCTTTCGCATATTTTCCCATATTTTCTAAGGAATCGACGATTAATTGTGTCTGTGTGATTTTTTCCCTCCTGAACGACGTCGGGGGTCTGGGAAGCGGGAGCGGCAGCGACAAACGCCGGAGTCGAGCGCGCTCCCCTGGGGAGCCCGCCGGCGCCGGCCTGGGGCACGGCGCGGAGGCCGCCGCCACGACGGAGAGGCCCTCGGGGAGGTGCATTGCCGTCGCCCAGCTCGAGCGCGGGCGTGCGCCGCCGACGTCAGCCCCTTCCCTTGCCCTTCTTGCCCCCCTTGCCCTTCTTGCCCTTCTTGGCCTCCTCCTTCTGCAGCGACTGCAGGAACCGCATCTTGAACAGCGCGGGGCTGCACGGCTTCTCCGCCTCCCCCGAGCGGCCCACCGAGTCCAGCACGTACTGCGACACCGTGCGGCCGGCCTCGCAGACCGTGCTCCCCCGGTCACTCAACTCCTGCAGGATGGCGACGGACGTCTCCAGGTCCACCTCGCACAGCGCGGAGACGGCCTGGTCATCCAGGACAACGCCCCTCTTGCGAGGCGGGGACATGTCCATACCCACCGCCTGGGAGCCGACGTCCTGGTGCCCCAGCGGGCGGTGCATGTGGATATGTTCTGGCCCCCGGGGGCCCGAACATATCCATGCCCACCGCCTGCCGAGGTCCCCGAACATTGCTCCTCCAGGCGGTGGCCATGCAGAAATTCTCGCCTCGGACCTCTCGCTCAGCTCGTCAACCCAGCGGGCCACCGTCTCCTCGCTGGGCGGCTCCTCCGGTGCCGGGGCCTCCCTGGGCTCCAGCGCCGGTCGCGCAACGACCCACCGGCCGTCCAGCTCGAACCCGTTGAGCTCCTCGACGGCGCGGGCCGCCGCCTCCTCAGTTCGCCGACCCCTCGAGGTCCTCGGCGTGTGAGGTGGTGACCCCTCGCCAAAGCGGGCATTGCTGGAGGTGCTCCTGGCCCCAGGTGCGCTCGGTCCTTCCTCTGCCTGTGTAGCCGTCGGCACGTCTTGAGCCAACATGCTCAAGCAAAAAAGTCCCGTGCTTGCGCCGTTGCTCCTGAACCGCGTGGGCCGCGCGGGTTTGGAGCAACATGTCAATTCAATGTGTTCCGATTGCGCCCTTGCCCCTTCCGTGTAGGACGCTCAAGGCCCAAACCTGGCCATCGCTCGGACGTCCATTCCCTCTGTTTTTTCCGGTTTCGTGCGTGTTTTTGTTTGCCAAATGAGCAAGGATGCTCCTCGATGGTCCTCGCCGCAGGAAAAATGCACACGTCCGAGCGACGCCAAGAAACGGCTCGAGCCGGCATTGTTAATCAAATGTATCCAGTTGGCGCCTTTCTTTTCTCTCCAGCCTGCGTCTTTGCCTCGGAGATGGACAGAACCCCCTTTAGTAAAACGTGGTTTAGTGAACACGACCTGAGGCCCAAACCTGGCGGACGCAAGACTGGAAAATAACGGCCACGGCGCACTCTCGAGAACATAAAACGGACAATTCACTAATCGACGTGTCACTGTTGGGGGTTCTGTCCACCCCCGATTGCCCCCTCCGCGCGGAGCAGTCCGGGCCAGAACGGTTCGAAGCATAATTGTGTAAGTAAATGTGTCCCGTTTGCGTTTTTGCTCTCTCCGTCTGGGGCGCTCAGGGCCGGCGCGGTTCGCAACAGATTGTTTGATGAAATGTGTGCCGCTTGCGCGCTTGCCCCCTCCGTGTGTGGCGCTCAGGGCCGGCGCAGGTTCGAAGCAGAATGTGTGATTAACTTTGTCCCGTTTGCACCTTTTCTCCCTCCGTGCGGGGCAGTCAGCGCTGGCGCGCTTCAAAACAGAATGTTTCACCAAATTTGCGTCGTTTGCGCCTTTCCTCCTTCCGCGCGGAGCGCTCAGGGCCATCGCGGTTCGAAACAACATTTGCAATTACATGCATTAAGCTTCCTTCCTTCATGTGCTAGCGTCGACACGCGTTGAAACAACATGTTTAATCAAAAACCTGTGTTTGCGTCTTTGCTCCTTCCGTGTGGGTCGCTTGGGTGTGAAACGACATTTCACATACATATGTTCCGCTCGCGCTTCTGTTCCCTCCGCTGTCGCTCTAGGACGCTCAAAGTCCAAACGGCTTGAAACAGAATCAATAACTAGACGTATCCCGCACGCGCCATTCGTTCCTCCGCGCCGGACACTCGGTGCCGCCCTTCTGCAGGCGTTTCCGCGACGCTTCCGCGGGGCCTGGGCCGCCAGTTCCAGGCAAGAAGGAGGAGGAGGAGGAGGAGGAGGAGGAGGAGCAGCAGCCACCGAACATCAGGATATAGTGGGGATACTATGAGGAAACCACCGCGGGATACCATGGGGACACCATGAGGGAACCACCGCAGGGCATCGATCGCACCTCCAAGTTCCAGTGACGACCCAGGAGGGCCTACGATCGCCCCAAGACGGCCCAAGAGGCCACAAAGAGACCCCCAAGAGGACCCCAGGAAGGCCCAAGAGGGCCCAAAGAAGGCCCAACAGGCCCCCAAGACGGACCCAAAGGCCTCCAAAAGGGGCCCAAGGGAGGGATACCAACCTTGCCTTAGGAGCCGCTCCCTCCAAGATAACCCCAAGAGGACACCAGAGGACCCCAAGACGCTTCCAAGAGGCTGCAAGAGGCTCCAAGAAGACCCAAAGAGGCCCCCGAGGGGCCCCGAAAGGCTCCAAAGAAGGCTCCAAGACAGCAGAGCGATGTGGGATATGGCATATGGCCGTCTCCTTCTCTCTTTCGCCGACCCTGTTCCAACGGCTGCTCTCCTTCGTCGCGTAAACTTTGCTTGCCTGTGTGGGCCGCTAGGGGTGATGATACTGTGCGGGACGTTGCCAGTCCAGCCAGAGAAACCACAAGGGCCTCAAGGGGTCAGCGGTACGGCCTAAGCCATAAAATCTCATATTCGACCTTGCCGCAGCCCTTCGACTGGCCCGTCTCCCTGTCCGTGAAAAGGATCGCGTCCACCACAGGTCCTGCCTGCTCCGCAAACGTCTTGAAGCCCTCCTGCTGAGTGTCGTAGCTGAGGCACGCGAAGAACACGTGACGCGGGGTGTCTTTGGTCTTGCCTTTGCCCTTCCCGCCACCCCCCCCATCCAACTGAACAGACACGGTATGTCCGTCAAGGTCCGCACCGTTCAGCCTAGCGACCGCCCTCTTGGCGCTAGCCTCCTTGGCGTACTCAACCTTGCCAGAGCCCTTGGGCTCTCCCGTATCGCGGTGGAAGAACAGGCGAACCGACCGCACACTGCCCGCAGTCTCGGCAAACTGCCACAGCGAATCCTGGTCGACATTCGGGCCGAAGTTCCGGAAGAGGACGACGCGCGGGTCGGCTTTGCCCTTGCCTTTCCCCTTGTCTTCGCCCTTGCCGTGGCCAGCGCCCTTGCCTTTCGGCTGGCCGGCCAGCACTTGGCGCAGCTCCTCGTCGTCGTCATCGCCCTTGCTGTTGCTGGCATCCTGGCCCTCGTGCTGGCTGGCTGGTGCCCGGCACAGCTTCTCGTCGTCAGCGCCCTGCACTGTCTTCTGCCTCTTGCTGCTTTTTTGGAGCCCTAGTAGCTCGCGCAGCTCCTCGTCGTCATCCTCCTCCTCATCATCATAAGCCGCACGCTGCTTCGCCTCTCTCCGCCACTCGCTGCGCTGCTCCGTGAGGCGAGCTTCCCGCGCAGCCTTCAGAAGCCAGTGCACGGGACTCCTGACCACGTGGGCACTCGCCTCCAGCCTGGCGAGCAGCGCCAGCGCCGCGGGCTTTGGCAGCTCGGCCAGCACAGCCTCGGCATCGGAGTCCAGCTTCTTGCCCCGCCACCTCTGCGCGTGCCTGCGGTTCAGCATCGATATTCGGAGGAGGGCCAGTTGAGGCATCGGCGGCCCTCCCGCCCAGCCCCAATCCGCTCAAAATCCGTCACAGGGCCCGTTCCGGGACCCATCCCGACCCGTCGTTTGAGGCGGATCCGGCCGTGGCGACGAGAAGCCTCCGGGAGGCCCAGGGAGGAAGAGGAGGAGGAGGCGGAGGATGAGGAGGAGGAGGTGAGGGAGGAGGAGTAGAAGGAGGTGAGGGAGGAGGAGGAGGAGAAGGAGGAGGAGGAGGAGGAGGAGGAGCAGGAGGCGGAGGAGGAGGAGGCGGAGGAGGAAGAGTCGGAGGAGGCGGAGGAGGAGGGGGAGATCAAGCGCCGGCAGGGAGGGCCGCCGTGGTCTCCACCGGCCCTCCTCCGAGCTATGCACTCCCTCACCTTCTTGGGCAGCGGCTTCTGCAGGCCTCGGCCCGCGGGCTCCGGCGCGGGCCCGACCGTGGCCTCGGCCTCGGCCTCGGCCTCGGCCTCCGGCAGCGGCGCGCGAGCGGCACGCTCGGCGAGGCAGCGGTCGCCGCCGCCCTGCTCGCTCCCGCCGACGTGGTGGGTGCCCTCGGGCCCCTGCGCGGGGCCCTCCGCCGCCACGTGCTGCGCCGCGCCCTCCTCCTCCCCCTCGCCGTCCCACGGGTACTCGCAGGGCTCCTCCGCCGCCTCGGCGTCCTCCTGGCCGCCGACCTCTCGGAGGCCACCGCACGGCCGGCCGCCGCGCAGCTTTGGGACCCTGGAGGCCCCAGCCGCCCGAGCCGTCCTCGCAGCACGGCCCGGGAGTCCCAAAGCAGCGCGGCCACCACGAAACGCCCCACCGACCCACCACACGGCGCGGCCACCGCACCGCTCTTGGAAGCCCCCGAACCTCGTCGAAGTCCCAGTCCTGCTCGCCGCCCTCCGGCGCTGGCGCTCCCTCGGCGCTGGCACCCGCACCCTCGGCCGCCACGCCCTCGGCACCGGCGCCATCGGCACCTGCGCCGTCGAACAGCCAGCCGCAGTCGTCCGGCTCGCCCGCCTCCTCGGCGTCCATGGCGGGCAGGGCGCGCGCCGCGGCGCCGCCGCGGCGCGGCCGGCTGCACCCGGGGCGCCGCCTCCGTGAGCTCTCATGGCCTACGGCACCTCCGGTCGTCGTCGTCGTGGTCGCCGTGGTCGTTGTCGTCCGCGGCGGCGGCGGCGGGAGCGGCGTCGTCGTCGTGGTGAAAACCTGAAAAGCGAAACAAAATAAAAAACGTCAACGAAACGCAACGAAGCGTGAAACTGAGCAGGCACGGAAGTCGCAAAATGTTGCATGAGACCCGCTTGTCGCAAGAGACTTTACAAGGAGCAGAAACCGTGCAGGAAACAAAACAAATTCCATCTCTCGGGGGCGCCTCTGCTACTTCCGCCAGCTTCCGCCAGGCTTCCCCCGGACTTCCGCGAGCGGAGTCGCCATCGTTTTGTTTCCGCCAGCTTCCACCGCCCTTCAGCCGCCTTCCGCCGGTGAACAGATGCCAACCTCTCGCTGCCTCGAAGGCGAGGCCCTCCCTGGAACGTCGCACAGAGCCCGCTCGAGCAGAGGCCTCCCGTACAGGGTCCGAGCAGATGGGGGGTCGGAGGATAGCCCAGACATCGGCGATGCATCGGCACCGTCGGCGCCATCCTCTGGCCTCATCACCTCGGACCCCAGCTGGGAGGCATGGATCCAGAGGCCACGAATGGAGAAAGCAATTGCACCTCTTGGGGCCTCATCTGCGACTTCCGCCAGCCTCCACTGGCGGGGCCGACCTCGTCGTGCTTCGGTCGGCGTGCCCCGGCATTCCGCAACCTTCCAACCTACGGCGAGATGTCAACCTCATCGATCACTCGAAGGCGAGGCCTATGCTGTTCCCGCCGTACTCAAAAGACCATGTACACCCCAGACCTATTCCCATCGTACTAGAAGACTACATACACCCCAGAACTAGTTTCGAGCACCCAGACAAGAATGAAACAGTGTCTGCCCACCGCGCCAGCGAAGTGCCGAACGAGTATCGCCGTCCAGGGCCCGACACGTGAATATCGTCATCATCATCATCATCATCATCATCATCATCATCATCATCATCATCATCATCATCATCATCATCATCATCATCATCATCATCATCATCGTCATCGTAATCGTCATCGTCATCGTCATCGCCACCATCGTCGTCATCGTCATCATCATCATCATCATCATCATCATCATCACCACCATCATCATCATCATCATCAACATCATCATCATCATCATCATCAGCATTAGCATCGTCATCATCAGCAGCATCATCATCATCATCATCATCAGCATCAGCATCGTCATCGTCATCGTCATCGTCATCGTCATCGTCATCATCATCATCATCATCATCATCATCATCATCAGCATCATCAGCATCATCATCATCATCATCATCATCATCATCATCATCATCATCATCATCATCATCATCATCATCATCATCATCATCATCATCATCATCATCATCATCATCATCATCCGGAGCGCCCCGGATCGACGGCACTGGCCGGAGGCCATTCCAATAGTGTCTGCCCGCCACGCCAGCGAAGTGCCGAACGAGTATCGCCGTCCAGGGCCCGACACGTGAACACCCTCCAGTTTCGGCGCCTCAAGGCTAAAGTCAAAGTAGGTTGGAACATCATAAGGGGAGGCCCTCTTTGGAGCCCTCCGCATAGCTGCGGACCCCCACCTGCTCGATAATGTGCCCTTGCAGCGATACGTCCCGCCTTCCCAGAAGGGTTTTGAACAGAACGCGCGGAGAGCGAACTGTCCTGGCTCTGCTTGCGCACTCGTGCCCACGGGGTCCGACCCATTCAGTGCAAGCCTGGGCTGGCGGCGCGTACAAGGGGGTAGGGGGAAGGGGGGAAGGCTTCCTGGAAACACCCCTGCTTCTTAGAAGGCGTGGGCCCTACATCTGTAGCTGAGGCCCGTGCCGTCTTAGAAGCAGAGGTGTTTCTAAGAAGCCTCCCCACCTCCCCCCTACCCCCCTCTGCGCGAGGCCGAAGACTCCCGGCGGACTGATCTGGTCAATGCGGGAGCACTTCTCCCAATCGGGGTATCTGGGGAGCTGTCTCGCCGCCCCGGGAGCTTGGGGGGCGGCGAGGGAGAGCGCAATGGGGGGGGGCGGGGCGGCTCAGGAGGGGAACAGAAGAACTAACTTTTGGAGGTTCGCGCGGATTGCTTGGATCTGCGCTGGACCCCATCCCATGCAGTGCGGAGCGTGCCAGGGGCGGCGCCAGAGGCGCCGCAAGGGGGACCCAGCGCAGATCCAAGAAATCCACCTCTTCCTCGAAGGAAACATTGAGCTGGAATCGGAGACCCATCGCCGATGGATCTGCGATGGGCGCCCGAGAGTACATCCGCATGCTCATGAGTGGGGTGGGCTATCAGAACCCTATCGGCGATGAATGGGCGAATATGAAGGGGCCCAGGGACACACGAATAAATAGACACGAATCCCATGATTCCCCATATTTGCACGTATTTTCTGGATTTTCGTTTTCCCACCCACTTCCCATATTTTCCTGGGGATCGACGATGAATTGTGTCTGTGTGTTTCTTCCCTATTGAGAATACGGGTCGACGCATCCCACCCTGAGCCTTCATCCCCTCTAGCGCTGCCCCTGAGGAGGGCCCTGTGCCGGCGGAAATCTGCCGTCCGCAGGCGCCTGACCCTGATATCCGACGTCACGAACTGCAACATCGTAAAAAATGACTCGCCCAGAGAGCCCTGGTCCCCATCGAGCTGCAGCACATTTCGAGCCCGATCGATCCATGAGGGTCCCAGGGCCCGAAAGACGCTCGGCCGTCGTGGCAAAGTTGCGACGCCGGGATCTCCGGATTCTGCAGTTTTCAGGTGGAATCTCGGGCCTCCAGAGGCCGTTGGGACGATCCTGCCCCCCCCCCCCAGAACGCCCTCGGCAAGGCGCAGCTGCTGGAAGGCACCCCGAGGCTGGAAACAGATCGAGTAAACCTAATTACGAAAACGCTAGGGAACCTCGAACATCGAGCCTCAACCTTCGAAAGAAGGCACAGTTCAGGAGAGGCAAAAGTACAACTGCCGCCAGCTGGCGGGGGGGTGCCCCGCTCCCTCCCCTCGAGCTGGCGGAACCCCTCCTTCCGGGAACTCCCTGGAGGCATGCCCGGAACGAGGTGTCACCAGCTCGAGAGGGTGGGACATAGGAAGGCACCAACTATACACCAACACCGATCCTGGCCAGGATCACCCTGGGCCCAGGATCGGTGTATACGCCCTCCTGCCTTGCGCAAGAAGGCATATACACCGATCCTGGGCCCAGGGTGATCCTGGGCCAGGATCGGTGTTGGTGTATAGTTGGTGCCCTCCGAGGACA